CAAAACAATAAAAACAAAGACACAGGGCTAAGCACTTCTTACAAAAGTCTGTTGAAACTGGATTGTCAGTGTGCGCCTTTGCACCTGGCTCCTAAGAGATCTAAAGGTGATTTCTTCATATTAAAAATATTTATTTTTAATTTGTATCTTATAAAACAAGTAATTTTGCTTTCAAAACTTATCATTATTCCTGTGTTGGGAGACAGTTCTACTCATTATTCTGTAAGGTGTAGTGTCACTCATTGACATAGAATGTATTCCAACTGAATAATTTTGAATATCTGTCACTTCCATACTTAATAATTTAGCTTATACTTATGTTCTGGGGATCAGAGCTATAGTTTTAAAACATGCTTGCATATTATATTTTGTTATGTATTAAATGAAAAATATATACCCCAATTGTCCCTGTTTACACGAGTGTGCCTGCTTGTGGGGAATCGCAGTGGGCAGAATTAAACAACTGACTTTTTAAATGTATAAAATTAGTTTAGAATTGGAGGAATCAAGCTTCAGCCAGAAGTTCTCACCTGACAAAAACTAATTGTATTTTTAAGAAATAGTCCATATTGTAATTAGCAAATTCATGATAGGAATCAATTATGTGTGTATGCAATCCACGAATGTGCATGTGTGTCTGTGTGTGTCATACATGATTGCATATGTGTTTATGTTTGCATGTTTGCCATGTATGAATGTGTATGTATTTGTATGTCATGCACAAATGTGTATGTGTTTGTGCGTGTGTGATGCATGAATGTGCATGTGTTTGTGTTGTATGTCATGTATGAATGTGCATGTGTTCGTGTATATGTATATATCATGCATGATTGTGTATGTATTTGTGTGTGTATATGCCATGCATGATTGTGTGTGTGTGTGAGGTATGATTGTGTATGTGATTGTGTGTATGTGTGTGTGTGTATGATTGTGTATGTGTTTGTGTGTGTGAGGTATGATTGTGTATGTGATTGTGTGTATGTGTTTGTGTGCCTATGGAGACTTGAGATTGATGGAGACTGTCCCTCTCAATTGCTCACTATCTTATTTTTGAGACAGGACCTTTCTGTGAACCTACAGCTCACTGGTTAGGACACACTGGCTGCTCTGCCAGCTCTGGGGATCTGCCTGCTTTCCCCCATCCAGCAAATCTCTTGTCTTTTTCATTGGTGTCTGGAGATTCAAAGAAAAGGTTCCTAGGCTTTTGAGACAGGCACACTACCCACTGAGCCCCCCCCCCTCTGCTTCAGATAGATTTTTGCCTTTCATTGAGTTCTTCATGTTATTTGTACACAGTTTTGTTAAATGTAATTGTGAAGTCATTATTATTCATTTAGTGACTTAGTAGAACTGAGTTGTTTATTATCATTATCATTATTATTATTATTAATACTACTACTAGTCTATTGCTGCTGCTGCTGCTACTACTACTACTACTATTATTTTGATATTTTTTGAGGCAGGGTCTTTCTCTGTAGCCCTGCCCTGGAACTTCCTGTGGTAGACCACAGGCTGGTCTTGAACTCACAGAGATCTACCTGCTTCTGCCTCCTGGGTGCTGGGATTAAAAGTGTGTAGCAAGATTTTTTAATTATTACAGAATGTTTGAACGCCTCACCTTCTGCCTAGGGCCTGCCCTGAATTTCAGATGTGTTCAGATGTGTCCTCGGTGGAGGTCACCTCTGAGCTTTCTGGGAAAGAAGTTGTTTGTTGCTCCTTCCGTGTCAGTGTGGTCTGACAGTTGTCACTAGGTCATGCCTAACCATGCTCATGTCACCTCATGTCTCATGCTTCAGGGTGTCCTTGGGGTAGCCATGCAACCAGACTCCAGTCCGGGGGCCTCTCCTGGGGACTGGACAGGTAATTGCATCTGCAGTCCCGAGGCCATCTCTTTCCAGTAGGACAGTGCCGCTGAGCCCCAGAGTGATTAATCAGAGCGCTGGGGAGCGGCTGTCCCCAAGGTCTGCTTCTGCTGGCTCTGATTTCTTCATTTCATAGAGAAACATCTTAGAGTTCACTGGGCTGGATGTTTCCAGAAAAAAAAAAAATTAACCAAACCACTTTTGTGATTTTAGTTAGACATTATGATGGCGGCTTCGATTTAAAAGGAGGCTGTGCTTTGTTTTAGGGCAGTGGTTCTCAACCTTCCTAATGCTGTGACCCTTCAATACAGTTCCTCGTGTCGTGGTGACCCCCAAGTATAAAATTACTTCAACTCTACTTCATAACTGTAATTTTGCTACTGTTGTGAATTGTAATGTAAATATCTGATATGTAGGATATCTGATTAAGCAGCCACCAAAGGGGTCACAACCCACAGGTTGAGAACCACTGCTTTAGGGCATTAGACTAAGTTGGTAGTAGATAGTAGGGTAGAATCGCTCTTCAAAAGATGAAATATTTTAATTATGTTTGGTGCGCCTTTGGTGTTAGATGACATTTGATTCATCTACTTCAATTTGTCAGTAAGTCCACCTCACTTTAGCATCTGATAGATTTAAATAAAAAAAAATCATGTTTTATTTACTTATTTTTGTGTGTGCTGCTGGCATGTTATGTGCATGTATGGAGGTCAGAGGATAACTTACAGGTGAGTTGGCTCTCTCCTTCCAACATATGGGTCCTGGAGGTTGAACTTGGGTCTTTGGACATGGTGGCCATCACCTTTGCTCACTTGCACTGATAGATTAAAAAAAAAAAATGTACCTCAAAGGCTTTTTGTGAATAGTTGACTTCAGATATCACTACTGACAATAGAAGAGCCCTGCTTGTGCATGAGGGGGCTTCTTTTCATATACAAGCTAATACGTCATTTTCTATATGGCTTTGGGACTCTGAAGTCATTCAGGTTGACTTTTATCCTTCCATCAATGAGTATAGGGCATCAGTTTTCTAAGGAAAAACACGAGTCCAATTGATCATCACCAGCACCGATCCTGGCCACCAACACTGAGCAAGTGGGCAGATACCATGTTCCTATCGGAAAGAGATCTGTATGTGCTAAACAAATGGTGCCTTTGCTGAAGGAGCCTGGACTCTATGTTAAGGCCTGTGATTTAATTAGCAGCAACAGTGGGTTTTCTCAAGAGAAAAAGGGGAAACCAAGACTCTAAAAAGCAAAATGCTTTACAGACAAAGCTCTGTGAAGAGTTATTACCCTGCGAGGGGCAGGCTTTCCTAACTAGCTTGCCTCTGGGTGGATGGCTGAGACGCCCTTGTTTAGTTATTTGATTTAGAACCCATAAGAACAAAGGGGAGATACTACATTTCTTTTTGTGAAATAGGAAATAGCATTTCAGCTCACCGTTTTTCCTGTCTCCTAGATGTTGGTGGAGGTAAATCCCCTTTAGAGACCATTTCTAATGTGAAAATGATGGTTGTATTATTTTAATAGCCAGAAATGCTAATGGTCCAAGTTGGGTGAGTGTGTGCTCAAGGATGTTGTCTCTTTTCTTTGTGCCTTTTGCTCCTAACATTCTATTTTTAAATAAATAAATAAACAAAGCCAAAAATTCTTAACTAGTTAACCAAGCTCCATTTTAAATAAATAAAAAGAAGTCAAGAAATTCTTAACTAGCTAACCAAGCTCTATTTTAAATAATAATAATTAAAAAAAAACCCAAGACATTCTTAACTAGTTAACCAAGAGTATATTGTAAAGCAGGTTAACTAGTTGTTTGATCTTATTTGATGTGAATTTGTGTGTTTGGGTATAAAGAAGTGGGCACACATTTGCATTTTATTATTATTATTATTATTATTATTATTAATCTATGGATACATATGGTATTTTTCAAGACTATTTTTCTTTTTTTATTATTTTTTCTTATTTTACATATCGATCCCAGTTCCCTCTCCCTCCCTTCCTCTCTCCCTCCCTTCCTCCCTCCCATGCCCCCTACCCCACACTCCACAGGGAGGGTGATGCCTTCCTGGAGGGATCATCAAAATCTGTCAAGTCATTTGCAGTAGGGACTAGGCCCTCCCTCCTGCCTCTAGGCTAAGGGAGTATCCCTCTATGGGGAATGGGCTCCCAAAGTCCTTTTGTGCACCAGGGATGCATCCTGGTTGCACTGTCAGACTATTTTTTGTAAGTGTGGCCCTCATCTCCTCTCCACGCCTCCCCCCCCCCCCTCCGCGCGCACACACACACAGAGCCAGGCTTTCAGGCTTTCAGGCTTTCAGTTCCCTTCTTCAGGCGCTGTCGGTTTTTGCTTTCTCTATCTGAGAGAAAAGTTAGTCAACGAACTGGAAGGAAGACCCAGCTCTCCTCTGGAGTGACACTTCTAAAAGACTGCCAGTCTAGTTCTTAAAACAGGATTAAAGTATTTTTTTTTTTTTTGAGATGAGACTGTGACCCATGTAGTCTGGGCTAGCTTTAAATTTGCTGCCTAGCAGAGGATGGCTTTGAACTTCCAACTTCCTGCATCCACCTGCTCATTGTTGAGTTTTCAGCTGTAACACTACTGTGCCTGGCTTTCCGAGATGTTGGGGTCAGAGCCTAGGGCTTTTCTGTGTGCTGTTGGGACTAGAATACATGGTGTTGTGCATGCTAGACAAGTACTCTACCAACCTAGTCACACCCTAAGTCCCTCAAACAGCTTTTTTTTTAAAAAAATAAAATTATTTATTTATTTATTTTTATGTGTGTGTTTAGCTTACACGAATGTAAACCACATGCATGCCTGGTGCCTGTAGAGGTTAGAAGAGGGTGTCAGATCCCCAGGAACTGGAGTTCTAGATGGTTATGAGACACTGTGTAGGTGCTGGGAATCAAACTGGGGTCCTCTGGAAGGGGCGCTAATGCTCTTAGCCACTGGGCTACCTCTCCAGCTCAGACAACTTTATTTAGTAACTTTAGGAAGCCGTGGAGAGACCTCAGGATAGAACTGTAGTGCACACCTAACCCTAAGTTCTTGGAGTCACAGGTAAGCGAGTTAAAGTGACACCTCATCAAATACAGATGTACCCACTACTGTTTCCATTCCCTCGTCTTTCAGGACTTGCTCAGTGCATTGGACGCAAGAGCGGCCCTGGAAAGGGAAGCCAAGCTCTTCCAAGAGAGGCTGCTTGCTGTGCAGCGGGCCTGGGATGCTTCAAAGCAAGAGCTGAACCAGCTGAGGGAAAACTGCCAGCATCTGGACCTCAGCTTGAAGACCAGCAGGGATGCAGCAGCAGCCTCGCAAAGCCAGAACTCCTCCTTCAGGGAGAAACTCGCCGTGCTCCTTTGCAGCGGACTGGATAAGGCTGGGTCCACAGAGGACGCCATATTGGAGAGGATTCGAGAGCTAGGCATCCAGGAAGAGAGCAAGTCCAGGGTGAGTAGACCGCGAGACCCTTACAACTTCCTCAGCATTCACTCGGCACCCAGCAGCCATGTCTTGGAATTAGGTTATGTGGAATGGAACATGTTTGTGCCGCTTTCAGCTGTACCCAGGGTGGCCTGAGTCACTGACAGAGTTGGAGCTGTCCGTGCAGAGCTCTGTTTCTCCCACGCCTTCACTCATGATGGTGTGTGTGAGCTGTGCAAAGACCCTGAGATCATAGTTTCTGATTTCCGTTATCAATGACTTTTTCTGTTTCTTTTTCTCTTCCTTCCGTCTCCCCTGCCACCCAAAGCAGAGCCAAAATAACACACTTTGGCCATAGAATCAGAGCCAGTGAAAGAAATATGGCCCGTCCCAGAAATTAGAGCCAAAAGGTGGCCAGTGAAAGAAACACACTTTGGCCCTTAAACCAGAGCCAAATCTGCCCCTGACCAACTAAGCAAAAACAAAACAAAACAAAACAAAATCAAAAAACAACAACAAAAAAACAAAACAACAACAACAAACAACCAATCCCTGAGCATGAGATCTAGCCAATCTGAGCTCAGGGAACTGAACTGACCAATCCCCACCCTGGAAATCTTCTCCCTGAAGAACTTCACCCCTAACACCCCCTAAGAAGTCCTATGTAAACCCAGTGCCTGTTCACTTCCCTGCTGTCTTCTTCCACCCTCGCAGAGGCTTCTACTCTCCTGGGTTCTTCCCTCCCTAATCTCTTGAATGAGGTTTGAGTGAGACCTTTTGTTTGGGCAGAACAAAGCAGAGAAGTAACAACTTAACGCCTAAGGCACAGAGCGGGGCAGGGCTGTAATACTTTTACTGGGGCATCCTTCCCTAGCGGAGTTGTTACATTCCAGACCCCTGGTTTCTTCCCTCCCAACAAATCTCTTGAATGAGGTTCCGGTGAGACCTTCTTTTGTTTGAGTAGAACAAAGCAGAGAAGTAACAACTTATCGCCTAAGGCACAGAGGGGCAGGTCTGTAACACTTTTACTGGGGCAACCTTCCCTAGCCGAGTTGTTACATTCCAGACCGGAGCTGAACTGTAACAACCTCACTGGGGATACCCTTCCCTACTGGAGCAGAGCTTTTACACTGGGAAACCTTTCCCCGGAGCAGAGCTGTAAGCTGTTTGTACTCCCTGTGACTGATGTATTCCTTGGCTCCCGACTGCCGCCATACTTTCCCATCTGAGCTGTAATGCTTACAGTGTGTACGTGCCTATGTGTAGTGTGTATGTCTATTTGCACATGTCTCTGTGTGGTGTGTATGTATCTGTTTGCATGTGTCTGTGTGTGATGTATATGCATCTGTCTGCACGTGTCTGTATGTAGTGTGTCTGTTTTGTCTGCATTTGTCTCTGTGTGGTGTGTATTTGTTTGCACGAGTCTGTGTGTGGTGTGTATGATTTTGTCTGCATGTGTCTGTGTGTGGTGTGTATGTATTTATTTGCATGTGTCTGTGTGTGGTGTGTATGTATCTGTTTGTATGTGTCTGTGTGTGGTGTGTGCATCTGCCTGCTTGTGTCTGAGACCATGCAGGTGTATGGGCTGTAGAGGCTGGAAGTACATCACAAGACTCTTCCTCAGAGACAGGTTGTCTAGTCAACTCCAGAGCTCTGTGGTGTGGTCAGCCTCACTACACAGCTTGCTCTAGAGAGTTCTTTCTCTGCCTTTCCAGGCTGGAATTACCGGTGAGCCACCAGACCCACAGGCATTGACATTTAATGTCAATTCTGGAGTCTCATGTTTGGCCCTCTGGCTTACACAGCGAGCACGTTAACTTTCCCCAGCCCCAGTGATGTCTTTTTCTGTTTTGCAATACTGAAAATGGAACCCGGACTCCCATTTGGAAGGAAGCTCCATCAGCAAGCCACCATCCCCGCTTTTAAATTTCACTTTCTCATCTTACTAGCAACTAGTACAAAGTTCACAGTCCCTGTTCAAAACTGCAAAATTCTTCGGGTTCATTGAATCTTTTCTTTTTTGGGGAGTGGTGGTTTTGAGATAGCGGTTTCATTATGTAGCCCAGGCTGGCTTCCAATCCTCCCCCCACATAAGGCTAGAATTGCAGACCTGTTCTATCATACTCCCCAGTGTGCTTTCAAATTTAGGGCCTTCAGGGGCTTGTAAACTATATACACAACAAAGCCATGTATCAGCCACACACAGCTCTCCACAAGGGGTCCAGACTGTACCCCATTGCCAGCCACAATCATCTGTGAACCACTCCAGAGACTATAAATAGCCAATGTCATTGAGCTAGAAGTTGACCTTGGATCAGTATTGTTGCTCAGGTACCGTGCATTTTTTTTTTTTTTTTTTTTTTTCCTTTTGAAACAGGGGTTTTCACTAGCCTGAAAAATCACTAGTAGGCTATTCTACCTGGTCAGTGAGCCTCGGGGATATGCTTGTGTCCACCTTACCATGCCCTGCTTTTGTTATGTAGGTTCTTGTAACACACACACACACACACACACACACACACAAAGACCCAGAGACTGATATTGGGGTTCAAGCTTCAATCTGAAGATCAGAAAAGCAAAGCAGCCAAACACAAGCTCTCACCTCTACCTCAGCTCAGACCAAAGAGGCGACCTTCAGATTGCTCTCGACTTCACTGCTCTTCAGATTCACTCAGCCTGCTATGATCTCCTCAGTGTGATTCCAATGTCAATGTGGCCGGAGTATGAATACCTCTCTGAGACCCTGTTTCTGACTTTAATATTTCTCATGAGTCCTGGGATTAAAGGCATGTGATCCCAAGTGCTGAGATCATCTTTATGTGAGCTGTTTCTCTTTAGGGCTGGATATATTTCTAGTTGCTCAATGTGGCCTTGATCTAACAGAGATCCCTCTACCTTTATCTCCCAAGTGGTGGGATTAAAGGTGTGTACCACCACCACCTGGCTTCTATGGCTTGTGGCTGACTTTGCTTTCTGAATCCTCAGGCAAGCTTTAATAAATCATAAATAATATATCCCCACAGGTTCTGGTGACTGGATTCAGGTCCTGGCCCTCTTACCAGCCCCACAATGACTTTTTTGAAAAGTTAGTTTAGGAATGCATTTGTAAATTAAAAAAAATAAAAACTAACCTAAAATTTATGCATGCTCTATGAGTAATTCTCATGGCCTTTTTAACCCAGTGCACAGCACTTTTTACAGCTGAGCTGTACCTGTAATGTGTCTGTGTATACACACACACGTATGTATATACATATATATTTGTATATATATATATATACAATATATATTTGTATATATATTTGTATATACATAAATGTGCGTATATACATATATGTATGTATATGTATGCATATATATGTATATATATATGCATATATATATATTCCCCCCCCATGACTCAGTTTACACATAGGAGCTCAACTGAGACAAGACATCATTTACAGCACTGGGAAGTTGTCTTGAGTGGTAATATGTGTATATTGATACATAAGGTTCCCCCCACACTCATTTACTTCATTCGGTATATCTTAGCTTCTCCCTCACTATTTTCATCCCAGCCTGTGAAACATGGTCTGCAGTTGCCAGCCTGATGTAAATGTTTATTTCCTAAAGCAAAGTGGTGTAAATTGGCTAAGCTGGCGATGCCTCCCCCCTCCCCTTACCAATGAGGACGACTCAATCTTTTTAGTGTCTTTCTCGGCCTCCCCTACCCTGTAATTTCTCTCAATAGCTTTTTAAAAGCCCCAAAATCAAGCTCGAAGCTGGTGTCTTGCGTGACTTCAAGTAAAACCAGGGGGGAATGGATAGTGCACATTGTCTTAGACATGTCTTTGAAGAATGGCGCTTTACAGACTGATGAATGTGTTTGTGGAGGAGGTTGCTTCTCTCTGCAAGTTGCCATGGCGGCCGGCTGTTGGGTCTTCCCACATGCAGGCCGTGCAGGCTCGGCCTGACACACTATCCGCTTCGTGTGCACTCTCTCTAGCAGAACACTGCTTTCCTGTTTACTCAGTGGCTACCCATTCTCCGTCTCCCAGATTTGCAGCTCTCAGGACTGAGGACAATGTCCCCACTTCTTTACTAAGTCATTTCTACTTCTGGCCAGCAGAGGGAAATTTCTGAAGGTTTCAAAAAGCTCTTTAGGGAAAGACCACCTGGTTGGTGGAACTCATAGATGGAGTAGGAGAGCAGAAGACACATGGCCACACCGTACTGAGCTCCCGGCAGTCTACTGGCAATAGTTCTTAGATCTGACACAGTGAATCGAGGTTTGTTAGAATCTTCTACTCTGTGATAATGTTGATTTTCTCTTGGGGGCAGAATAGTTCTTCCAATATGGATCTGAGTGACTTGCCATCAGATGCTGATGTGAAATACCCACCGAAGAGGTGTAGAAAGAATTGTATGACAGGCGTGGTACTCTGAGGGCCAGAGAATCAATTGTAGAATAAGATCACTGTTCAGTCTGGCCTCTTCCAGGTGTCTGTCACTCACCCAGTCACCTCTGAACAAGGTGACCAGCCTCCATCCCCCATTGACCTGGATCCACTACCTACTTGCTGTCTGATGTGTCTGGACAGCTTCCACTGTCAGAAGACACATTTTCTTTTCTTGGGCTGGTGCTGGGGACATGGAGGCATGGTCCCATGTAGATCAGGCTGGCCTGGAACTCGTGAGAATCTTGCTTCCGTCTGCGATGGATTCTTTCCAAAATCTCTTTAAAATTTTTATTTATTTATTTATTTATTTTATTTTAGCATATGAGTGTGTTGCTGCATGTATGTATATGTACCTTAGAGATCATTGGGTACCCTGGGACTAGAGTTACAGACAGTAGTGACCCTTGACTATATCTTCATGGTACAAAACTAATACATTATTTAAAATAAATAAAGAAGTAAATAATTGTGTTCTCTGTTTGGAGATTTCTTTTGCCATTTATATTTTTGACCCTTAATGAACATTCTACAGTATATATTACATGGGCATGGATGAAATTGAATGTGTACTTTCTTTTCTAACTTATGCTTATTGGTCCTTCACTGAAGAGCTGAGGGTAAGTGAGATCAAGTCTTACATAAAATAGTGTTTCTAAAACCTTGATGGCAGCTTCGGTGTCTTGTGTTAAGCATGTTTGTATAAACAATTAAGAAAGAGAGCAAACCCCAAGTTCTGTTCCTGATTTAAACTCTAAAAAAGCTGAAACAGTTGAGGCAATTAGCCCTGTAGAGCCCAACCACAGTGCCTCGTAAACATCCATTCTCTTCCCCCCCACTCCCCCAAACAAAAGGAATCATATTCATTCACCAACGTTTTAGCCCAGTTCTATCCAGCTTGGCGTTTTCCAAAAACTGAATTTACTAAGGTGAGCGTGGGTGTCTGCGAGTGTGCTTTAAGTCTGTGATTAAAATTTTGTTCTTTGTTTCTGGGGACAGGATGAATCCAGACAAAAGAGAGGGTTTCCTGGGAAGGATGTAAATACTGGCAGACTTTTTGGTATCACCACATTAAAAAGAATTTGACCTTCAGATATTCAAATGATAATATTAGTATATAATTGTATCTCTGACGTCTAGGACATATATAACCAATATTGAGTAGGCGGCTAAATAAAAGAAAAACGTCTGTCTACGTTGGAATCCCCAATAGCACCTCCAGACTTCCTCTCATGATAAATTCACTACATAATCTTTAATCGACTATGTGTGGTGAAAAAAAAAAATCTGTCTGGAGAAATGATATTTTTGTGGCACTGGAAATTACTTTTTGTTGAACTGTTTTCCTTCCAGCTTAGCTTTGAAATCTCTAAATTAATGACACTTTTTAGTTAAATAAATATTATCTATATTTATGGTCTAAACTTGTGGAAGGAATTATAGAAAAATGAAAAAGAACAATCCACCGTTATCAGTTTGGTAAGAGATGTAGGTTTATTTCAAGCAGAGGAGTCTGCAAGTGGGTGTATGGTGGTTATGCTTCTGGGGCGGAGTGGTGTGTCTGAACACTTCGTTTCCTCTAAACAAGGCTCTGCCATCTTGTCCATCTTTGTTTTCAGATGGTCTCCCAGCTTGAAGCCCAGGTATCAGAGCTTGTTGAACAGTTGGGAAATGAAGCTGAGCTTCACCGGAAAGCCCTACAGAGAGCCCACGAGGCAGAAAGCAAGTTGGAGGCTCTTCAGGGTCAGCTGAGTCACCTGGAGGGAGAACTGCTTTCTGGAGACGTCTTGAGAGACAACTTGAATCTCGAGAAACAGAAAGTAATGGAATGGGAGCATCCATTGATGCGAGTGTCTGTCGTGGGCTGAAAGTGGTACCCGAGAAAGTCCTGAACTTTGCAGTGTGTAGACTGGTCTTGTCCTCAGTTACAAGCAAATTTCCAAGGGATACTAAGTCTCTTCCTCTGCTTAGGGTTCCCTTGATTGTCAATCCTAACAGTCTGTATTTATTGTATGCCCACTGTCTATGAGGTTGGAAGGTTTGGGCAGCTGAATTGTGGGTGATGTATACTTTCTATTATTAAAGGCTCAGCGTTTAATAGAGGAGACAGGCATTTAGATACACTGCTGTAACATATATATATATGTGTATATATATATATATATATATATATATATATATATATATATATATAGTCATTGTCATAGTGTATTAATGAAGTATTGCAGACATTTCTGGACAACGAGGGGATTTTTACAAGAGAGGAGATAGTTCAATTCATCTTTGAAGGATAAATAGGATCACAGTGGGGGAAGGGATGTGTGCTGTGAAGCCTTGTAAACGCTATATTCAGAAAACACAGGATGGGTAATTATATATGGTAGAATGTGGCATTCCTAGTGGGGCATTGACACAGAGAAGAATGGGAAGCGAAGATCTTTTAGACCTGAAGTTTCTTTTCTTCCATAGAACATAAATTACAATTAATGTCTGTGGATATCAGCGTGCAGGCATTTGATGCCTAATGGCGTTTTTGTCACTGGTAGACTGCATGTATGAGAGCGGTCCAATATGACCATGGCTGGGTTATTGTGTAGTGGCGGAGCGTGTGCTTACCATGAACAAAGCCCTAGGTCTCACAGGCAGACTGTTCATGATGTCTACACAATGACAGCACCGTCTGATGCTGCGGGCTTCAGCAACACACGCCTAGAGGAGCTGGGATGTCACAATGGAACTACTCAGAAGAAATGGTAGCAATAGGTTAGGGGGAGACAAGAACAGCGCCAGAGAATAGTCCACCCTAAGGACCCGAGCATGGGCAGGGCAGCATGACTTGGAGATATTTTTGCAGACTGGGGAATGAGTGTGCCTTGTGCTGAGTGTGACTAGAAGGGAAGGGGTGCCGAGTTGAACGTGAGTAGCAGGGCCAAAGAAAGGTTTCGTTGGCAACAGTGAAGAGGTAAGAGCTTTTGAGCTGCAAGGATCCATGGAGAGAGGGCGGGAACAGAAAACGGGGGTGCAGGGGATCAAGAATATGGGGGCAGGAAAGTGTGCTCTGGAAACTCACTCCTTTTCCTTCTTCCGAACTTAAAAGAAATTGAGGATATGCCCTGGCTACATTATAGGGACCAGATGTGCAAAGATGTCTAAAAGGTGTCGTCATGGAGACGGATGTAGGATGCGGCAGGAAGTTGGAGGCAAGAGTGGCAGCTTCTTTCTTCTCCCCATATATGGGGACACGGCCCTCAAATTCTCCCTCCTCCCTCCTTCTTTCTTCTTCCTTCTCCTCCTCCCTTGGATCAGGTCTCACTCCATCGCTCAGGGTGACCTGGAACTCCGCATCCCCAGCTGGTCCGGCATCGGTGCAGGCTGGTCCTGAACCTGTGCCAATTTTCTCGCCTCCCTTCTAAGTGCTACAATCACAAACATGAACCACTAGGACCCATCTTCATGTAGGTTGCGTTTTCTTCCCTTCTGACCATATGAGTGTCTCATTAGTCTCCATTAAAATCCTGCCAAAATAGTTCTCAGTTATGAAAGCAGATTACATAAGCTGATCATGTCCACAGAGAGTTTTTCACAGACGAAAGTAACGAGAACGTGGTCATGTAAAATTGAAAATAAAGTTGTACAGAGGTTAAGTGCTAGACATAATCTAGACTAGTACAATACAGAGTAGAATGCATGGCCTCTAACTCAAGATAACCTGGGATTCAAATGAATAAGACACACAGCAAACCCCCTATTTTCCTAGAAAGCAAAAGATTTTTAAGCCAATTGGTTATGCCTGTATTTCTACGGTACTGAAGCACAGGACCATGAGATTGAGATAGCTTGGGCTACATAGTAAATTCAAAGCCAGCCTGGGAGACATAGTGATAGCTTATGTCACAACCAGGGGGTGGGGGAATAGAAAAAGAAATAAGACAACTTGCCATCAACCATAATCTTAAAAGAGAAAGATTTCTTTTATTTTTAATTATGTGCATGTGTGTGGGTCTGAGTGTGGGTGCCCTGGGAGTCCAGAGGAGGGCCTGGGATCCCCTATGCCCTGGAGTTGGAGTTAGAGGCAGTGGTGTCAGGAAACGAACTCGGATCTTCTGCCTAAACGGTCGGTGCACACTCTCAGCTGCTGAGCTGTTTCTCTAGCCGCTCAACTGTAATTACACAGAACGGCAAAGTCCTTGAGAGAAAGAGGTGCTTCCTCCGTGGGGCCTGGGTGTGGCCCCAGTTGAGTTCCTTCTTGCCTGTTGTAGAGCCAGCATGCAGAGTAGTCGGGCCACACAGAGAACTAGGAAATGTTTTTAAAAATGTAGATATTAACCCTCTATTGGATGTGTAATTGGGAAAGATCGTTTCCCCATTCTGTAGCCTGCCTATTTGTTCAAATGTCCTTGCGCTTTGCCATACAGAAACCTTTCGGTTTCATTAGGCCCCACTTATTAACTGATTAATTAATTAAGTGCCCGTGCTGTCCGTATTTTGTTCACAAAGTCTTTTCCTATGCCAATGAAGTCAATACAGTTCCCCACTTCCTGAGGTTCGGTGTATCTGGGATTATGTTGAGGTCCTTCATCTATTTGGAGTTGAGTTTTATGCAGGGAGATGAGTATACGTGCTTTCACGTGCAGCCATCCAGTTTGACCAGCATGGTTTGGTATAGACACTGTCTTTTATCTAGTGTGTATTTCTAGTGTCTTTGTTAAAAATCAGGGGTCCGTAGGCATATGGACTTATTTCTGGGTTTCAATTCCATTCCATTGATCAGCATGTCTATTTCTATGCCAATCCCATGTGGTTTTTACTCCTACAGCCCTGTACTACTTGAGATCAGGGATGAGGATGGCTCCAGCAGCTCTTTTGTTATACAGGATTGTTCTAGCTATCCCGGGTTCTCTGTGTTCCATGTTGAAAATGGCCCTTGCGATTTCTGGGAGGAATTGTGGTGGGGAATGCATTGGATATGTAGATTGCAGCTGGTAGCATGGCCATTTTCATCTATTATTCCTAAAAACAAGCAGTAGCAGCCAGGTCATGTTCAAGCACAGTAGAGATTTAACAAAATCCCAAAGGGAGAGCCATGAGAGCAAGAACTAACACTGTGACAACTCAGATATAAAACCGTCTGTTGTGTCAAAGCATAGTGAATGATACTATATTGGTAGTCACTATAGATTATAAAGATGATTCAATTGTATTCATGCTACTTAACAGAATTGGAAAATATGCACTTGCAGGTAATTCTATCCTGATGGTTCAGAGCTTAAGCTGGTGCACTTAGAGGGCAGGAAATCATATCCATTTCAACATCTAGTTGCTTGAAAGTGCCAGATGCTGAGAAGTCACTGCAATGAGAAGATGATATGGGGGCTAGAACCCAAATCCCGCAATTACCACAGGGCAAGTTTATTGATGGATTGGTTCACTCCTCTACCGCAACAGCGTTCTGTGTCCGAATCTGCTCAGACAAACAATAGCAGCCAAATGAAGGCAGACCTTCAGGCTTTGTGCAAGTTTAGTTTGTTAAAATATGAACTGTGGGGGCTAGAGAGATGCAAGAGGTAAGAGTGCCTGCTGCTCTTGGGCAGGACTCCGTCAGCACCCACCCACTAATAAATGTCTGTAACTCCAGTGCCTGTGGAACTGATGCCCCCTTTAAGCCACCGCGGGGCTGACGTCTTCCATACAGTTATGCTTTAGAGTGTTTGTCTCCTAAAACCCCCTTCCCTATGTGTGTGCATGTGCATGTGTGCATGCATTTTGTGTGTGTGTGTGTGTGTGTGTGTGTGAGTGGGTCAAAGGTTGAAAACATGTCTTCCTCAGTTGAGCTAGTGCTGCTCACCAAACCTGAAACTTACTAATTTGGCTACACTGGCTGGCCTGTGAACCCCAAGGCATCCCCCTGTCTCTGCCCCCTTCGTGGTGGAATTACAGGCACATTCAGGGTCCGGCTTTTTTTTTTTTTTTTTTTTTTTTTTTAAATGTATGTCTTGCGAGCCAAACTCAGGTTGCCATGTTTGTACTGCAAGCGCTTTACCAACTGAGACATCGTTCCAGTCCCGTTAAAGCATTTTAACTAAAACCATGGCAACTGCTGTTCAGCTTTAGTGTACATGTGGAGAACGTTGGTTTTGGAGCAATTTTGTTGTGTGCTGGGACAGACTGGGAGGGGCAAGGTTGCAGTGACTTTTGCCAAGAAACACACACAGAGACGAGGGTGGAATTAGGGGCTTAGCCCTTGTCATGTGGCAGGGCTTAGAAGTGTGTTTGACATTAAGCTGCCATCAAGGTTACTGGCCAGGACACTACTGAGTATTTGGACAGGGAGATGGTAATGTGGTTCAGACTTTCACATTGAAATCTTGGGGTCAGAATCCAGGCTCTGGGATGACCTGCAAGCTTGGGAGATTGAGAAGGACCACAGTGGGACCACACCCTAACTCTCATGTCCTGTTCCCATTCTTGTCTCTGGGTTTAGTATCTGCAGTTTCTGGATCAGCTTTCAGAGAAAATGAAACTGGGCCAGATTGCTGCTGACCTTGGCTTTGACATGCGTCTGGACGTAGTTTTAGCTCGCACAGAGCAGCTCGTCCGCCTAGAAAGCAATGCTGTCATTGAAAACAAGACCATCGCTCACAACTTACAGAGAAAGGTAGGCATTGATGCCCTCCGTAGCGCCACAAAAAGAAACTTTTGGAAAGCCCAAGTGTCACAATGATCTTATTACACTGTGATCGGCAGTGTGTCTAGGAAGCATATTGTATAAAAAAATGTATTTAGAAGCCGAGTCTCAGTTCTAAGTTCTGAAAATCTGATCGTGGCTGGACCATGTAACCTCCACACCCCACACACATGCTGTGGCATGCATGTGTCCTCCTACCATATACACAAAAAATAAAAATGTAGTAGACAAATTGGACGGTCCTACACCATTGGAACATAGTCAACACTTACTGGATTCTGTGGGAATGAAATATGAGTAATGATAATGATGATTAAATAATGGAGACAGAGGGCTTGAGGTTGGGTGGAGGTGGGTGGTAGGTTCTCGGGGGAGTAGAAGAGAGGCTGAGTGATTTGGATGGGCTGAGGTTTCAATAAGATCAAAATTTGTTGAATACATGTGTGAAATTTTCAAAGAATAGATAAAAACATTATTCAAAAACGTTGAAAGGTATTTGGTTGGAGAAATATCAAACGGGATTGTTAAGGGGTGACGCAGGTGTGGACCCAGCTGTCACCAATAGGCAAGAGACGAAAAGCAGTTTTCCGATTAAATGCTTCCACCTTGCAACACTTAGGGGATAATGATGGCTCACATTGCAGTCTTCAGCCCCCTCATCCGGCATTCGACAGTTCTCAATAGCCGGTTCCAGTGTCTCAATAGCCTGTCCCAGTGACCGAGCTGCTTGGATTTAATATCTGCCCAGTGAAGTGGCAGGCATAGCCCAGGAGACTCTCTTCTCATAGTCATTTTCTACAACCTATTCTAAATCCCTTCATCAATTTGATCACCATCGTCAGTGATGTTCCAAGAACTTACTCGCTGCTTGGTATGAGGAGCTCACTGTGTAACACAAAGAGTTCAAAGAAGCCAAATCTTCAAGAAGTCTGTTCCTGAGATTTGAAGTTTGTAAACAATGTCCTTAAAAGTCTCCTGGGAGCATCTTCTGCAAGAATGTATCAACCCTCATCCTGGGAGCTACTCAGCCAGGTTTTAAAGGGTGCAAATTATCTAGGGCAAGTTTTAAGTATCATGCAGGACCTTGTGTTTCAGAAAACGCTAGAGCTGCAATCGTGGCCACTGAGTACTGGAGACGATTTTGTCTGCGTCTTATTATATTCTACTTATTCTGCTCTTGATAAGCCTATTTTATTAGTCTTAAAAGTAATTTTGCATTTTTTATTATGAGGCACAGAATATTGGATGAAGCAGCTGTGGAGAGCTGACTTTTGTCACATTTTCTGGGGCTCCTTTGTCCCATACTTTGTAGCTACAGAATTAATTCTTGGAAAAAAATATGCATAAAAAAATTCAATCAGGGAAAGGAACCCGGTGACCTCTTTTTGAAGGTTTGCAAATGAGTCTCATTGAAGCACAGATAAAAATCGACATTATCAGAGTAATTCATTTATATTTACTGACTGTTCAATTATTTTGTCCAAAAAAAAAAAAATCCGTTTGTATCAAACCAGCTAAAGACCCAGAAAGAAAGACTGGAGAGCAAAGACGTGCATATGAACCTCCTTCGGCAGAAAATTGCCCAGCTGCAGCAGGAGACGCAGGCACGCACAGCCCTGGCTGTGGAGAGGGATGAGGCCCATCTTGCTGTCAGGAAGCTGGAGAAGAAGGTGGAGAGGATGCAGAAGGAGCTGAGCGCCTGTCGGGAATACAACACTGAGCTGAAAGCCAAGCTGGCTGACACCAATGAACTCAAGGCAAGTGTGGCTTCTTTCCCTGTTACTGTCTGCCATTGCACGTAAGGAATGGCAGCCTCGAAGCAGGCATGGTACTGTGTGCCTGTGATACCAGCTCTTGGAATGAAGGTAGAAGCAGGGAGATGAGGAGTCTAGAGCCGCTCTTGGTTATATAGAGAACTAACTGAAGGCCAGCCTGGGTTACGTGAGACCTCGAAATAAAAGAGACAAAAAACGTGGGACAAGTAAGAAGGCTCAGTGTGCAGTGTCTCCTCCTGTGAGTGGTGTGACAAATGTCTGTGGCCTTTTCCCTCTCCCTGTATGAGATTCCTGGGGAAATCACTATCTCTCTGGGGTCCACTCTTTCAATAGTCTGCAAGACCGAGAGACACAGTGTATCTTCATTTCCAGCAGGCCAGTTGCACAAGTCTTTGTTAGGTAAGCATTTGTTTAGGTGGGCACAAGAAAACCGATGCTCTATACACTGAAAGTCAGAGTATTGTCTTAGGGGCACTATTGCTGTGATGAAACACCATGACCAAAAGCAAGCTGGGGGAAGGGTTTATTTGGTTTACATTTCCATTTCACAGTTCAGCATTAAAGGAAGTCAGGGCAGGAACCTGGAGGCAGGAGCTGAGGCAAAGCAATGGAGGGATGCTGCTTACTGGCTTGCTCTTCAGGGCTTGCTCGGCCTGCTTTCTTACAGAACCCAGGACCACCAGTCCAGGGATGGCACCACCCACAGTAAGCTGGACCCTCCCCCACCAATCACTAATTAACAAAATGTCCCACAGGCTTGCTTACAGCCTCATCTAATGAAAGTTTTTCTTAACTGAGGCTTCATCCTCTCCGATGACTCTAGCTTGTGTCAAGTTGACAAAAAGCCAGCCAGTACAAAAACGTACTGTAGAAAAGGCCCACAGACAGGGGAGATGGAGAGGGTCTGTTGTAGTTCACACCTGACATAGTTCCATTCTGGATTTTTGCTTAACAATTTCCTTCTTGTTTAGGGAAGGAGTATTTTATTTATTTAGCTTGTACGTTGGACTTCATTTGATTGGAAGACACCCACCCACATTAGCTAGAACAATCTGGTCTGAAATAGGTTTGGAGCCTCAGTTACAAACTTAACTTGCTGGGCAGTGATACGGAGCACTTTTAATCCCAGCACTCAAGAAGCAGAGGTAGGTAGATCTCTGTGAGTTCGAGGCCAGCCTGGTCTACAAAGCAAGTTCTAGGACAGCCAGAGCTGTTACATAGAGAAACCCTGCCTCCAAAAAAGAAAAAAATAACTGTAGCATCTCAGATGCTGAGGCAGGAGGATTATGCATTTGAGGACATCATTGGCTATTTAGTGGGAGTCTGTGTAGGCAATGTGAAGTGGAACACATACAAAAATGCCTACCTGTTTTTAGTCTCACCTGCAAACATCCTCCAGGAAACATCTAGAACACCATTTCACTAGTATCTGGACATCATGGCCCATCCAAGCTGACATATAATATTAACCATTGTAATTCCTTTTGATGGGTAAATAATTGTCCATTACATGGATGTACCACCTTCTGTTTGTTCATTTAGCACAAGTTGCTTCTATTTTGGGGCTGTTGCAAATAAAGCTGCTATGAACATTTATGTTCCAGCTCTCATGACATTCCCATGTCTGTTACACACTAAGGCCAGCAACCATGACTCCAGGTTATCTGAATATCTCCTTGTAAGGCCCATGCATTAAGCTTTCTCAAGTTCTAGAACAAGAAAACACAAAACCCTTTCCAGATGAACTGTTAAATTTTAAATCGTTGTAAATTATCTTGGCTTGCAAACCTAAGTATTATGGAAATGTTTTTGAGAGACAGAACTATTTTTATTATTATTATTTTTTTATTTTACATGTTGATCCCAGTTCCCTCCCCTCTCTCCCTCTCTCCCTCCCTTTTACCCTCTCTCTCCCTTCACATGCACCCTGACCACTCTCCCCTCCCATCCCCCCACCCCAATTCCACATGTTGGACAATGCCATCCAGGTGGGGTCATGTAAATGATGGAACTATTTTTGTATAGATCTCCCTTCTATACAAATCTATCATAATTTTATGATGTCACATACTTAACTCTACATAGATTTGTCAGTTGAATTATACTTTTACCATTATAAAACCAATTTAGAAATCAAAGGACTGAAACTCAAACTAAGAAATAAATGGTAATTCAATCTGACTGATGATGCTGTTTAACTAAAATCACTATTAGCAAGGATGTGTGGCGCCAACTGCAGCTTTTGAGTTGGTCCTGCCTGCCTGTGGATTTTCCTTGCATGATGGAGTGTGTTCTACCACGTCTTTAAGTTTATGTGAAAGTACGATTTATGCATTAGCTGTACCTTTGTTCTTTTCTCATTAACCTGGCATTATTAAAGTAGTATTACTATTTGGCACAAGTATCACCTTGTAAGAAAATGCAGGCACTGAAATCTCACAGCAGAATTCTAGAGGACGTAGTAGAAGAGGTTTTGTGTAACCTCTCTACAGCCAGGTACTTCACACCGGCCCCAGCTATGATCAGTTTCTCTGGAGTATGTTGAAACACCCCATAATGCCATTGGCTCAGACAGGAAGGGTGTTAATTACTTTTTCACTGAAAAAGAATCAAGGAGCTGGGGTGGTGATTCAATGGTAGTATTGTATGTACAGGCCTCAGGAAAATCCTTAGCACTGCTGGTGTGTGTGTGTGTGTGTGTGTGTGTGTGTGTGTGTGTGTGTGTGTGTGTGTGTGTAAGGGAGCGGGCATACCTCATTTAGAAGGACCTCTCAGTGGCCATCAGAAGCCTGGTTTATTCTCCTTTCAACTTGAGCATCCTAGCCAATGTCTTCATTTCCTTTCATCTCCAGTCCCATGTAGATTCTGGGGCTCCGACCTCATCCCAGCTCCTAGCCAGGAGGAAAGCCTGAAAGATAACCTGTTGGCTATTTTCTGGGAATGACATAACAGCTCTGTGTCTCCATTGGCCAGAACTTATTCTCTTGACTTTGTTTAAATGAGGTCAGCCTGAGGAACAGGTCTTAACTCTGGCCAGTGAGAAAGGATGGTGCCTTAGCTGTCAGCCTGTAGCATGTTGCCTAACCCTTGTAGGAGCTGTGGTCCAAAACCAGCTCCAAAACCAGGGGAGAGCCATAAGTGTTTCCTTGGTGGTTTCCCAGAGACCTGAGCAGGCAGCAGCCCTCAGCCACAGGCAGATATTCTCTTTCTGACTTTCTCCATGCATCCCCCATACATTCCTTCCCCATGGTTTCCGCCCAGCCAGTGTAGCCCTTAGCCGTGTCCCTGGAGTCAGCTCTGTTCTACCATGCCCCAGATCATCTTGGATTGCTTTTCCCACTGTGCACAGGGAACAGGCCTGGAAAGGCAGACAGTTTGCTTTCTGGGGTGAGGGTAACTCTGCTGCCAGCTCCCTGAGCGTGGGCTGCTAGGGACAAGGAGGGAGGAGGAACTGCACAGTTGAATGTCTCTCCCACAGAGCTGTACTTTTGTGGACACAGCATCAGTTTTGGCTATCAGGACATTGTAGAACAGTCTTTCTCAACCCGTGGGTCGTGACCCCGAAGGGGTCCTAATGCTAAGACCGTAGGAAAACACAGATGTTTACACTGTGATTCATACACAGCAGTAGCAGAATTGGTTATGAAATAGTGCGACAGTAACTATGTTTGGGCGGGGGGTGTCACACAACACGAGGAACTGCATTAAAGGGGCCACAGCATCAGCAAGGTTGAGGACCACCGCGTTAGAGCATTGTAATCCCACGTCATGTACAGACTCGTGCAATCTGAGAGACTTAGTTACTGTCATTAACAACTGCAGCTGGGGAATTAGATCCCAGGGTTAGCCAACACAGAAGAGTTCAGATTTAATCACCTTTCTAGTGTGGGCCTTTGACCCTTAGGTGTAAGAGAGAATTGCCCACCAGACTGTACAGTTCTTTCCTGGGAAACAGACAGCATACATACAGTGTTTGCCACCAGTGGCACCCTGGGAACCTTCCCCGTCCTAGCTGGACTCCGGATGACACATCAGTCTTTTTTATGACCAGTTCCGTCTTACTGGAGGAAAATTAGAGGTCAGTTGCTTGCTGGACTCTGGGCTGCTCTGAGAAATTCCCTCAGGGGGATTAAGAAACCAATTTAGCCCCACCCTACTCCCAGGAATCTGCTGTCGGTTTGATTTTAGCTTCTACGTCATTCTTGCTGGCTCTGTGCTGGTGGCCGGACTTGGCGGTCCCCTCTTTAGAATCCGAGCAGTCCTCTGGGTAAGGAGAATGTGTCTCTCTTCCCATTCTGTCAACATGCCGATGCGCAGCTCAATTCAGCTCTTCCCTGTGGTCTCCTCTTGACCCTGTGTGCCAGCTCTCTCATCTCTGTGAGAGAATGAACACCTGATGCAAACAGCTTGACGGCAGGGAGAAGTGTTTTGGCTCACGGTTTCAGAGGCTTAGCTTATAGTTTCTTAGTTCTGTGTATGTCTGTAGGGCATCGTGGTGTCAGGGGCTTGCAGAGAGGGGTTTCTCTACCTGTGGTGGATACCAAGCAGAGGGAGGGGACTGAGTAAGAGGTAGAACTTCGAAAAACATACCCTCTAGTGACCAATTTCCTGTGCCACTTAAAGTCTTCTAGAACCTTCCAGAGGAATGCCACCACCTCAGAATATGCACTTCTGTGTTTTTTTTTCTTTTTTCTTTTTTTTTTAAATTTTATTTAATTTTATATAACAGTCCAATTAAATGAAAACAAACATTTATACACAATATTTGGGAATTTGGGCGTCGTTCTTTCCAAACTACTTCCTGCTGGTAAGGGGCGCTGTCTTGGGGGATTTGAAGAAGATTCAGATATCCTAGCTGTAGTCTGTAGGGCTGTTTTGTCCAGCTGTTTTGAATGTAGGATCAGCTTGTACTCTGTTTCAGGCGGTCTGGCGTGATCAAGCCACATTAGTCTGGAAGGAATCCACATCTTTTTATTTTCACTTCTGTGTTTTCTAAAAGAATGTTTACAAACTTATATAGACAATATTTAAATTCAGAGTATTTTTGGGCATACCTAATAAAACTCTGCACCCGTAAGTTGTAACTGCCCACTCTTGTATCCCTCGACTCCCAGACCTTCTCTATCTCTTTCTTAAGAAGATAACCATGTGATTTTGGGCAACTGGCTCAGTCTCTTGTCATGATGTTTTTAGGGCTCATCCATGTTGTAGCATGTCATAGCACTCCATTCTTGCTTATTGCTCTATAACCCATCTCAATGCAGGGCTCTACGACTGTTTTCCCCGCCCATCAGTTGATGGACATTTGGGAGGACCACCACTTTTTTGTGCTTATGAGTAATGCCTCTATGAACTTTGCATACAATTTTTTGAGTGGGCATATGGTTTTTACTTCTCTCTGGCTTATAACTAGTGATGGAATTGGTGGATCTTGTATTAGGCATTTTCAAAACTGCCTTCCATATCACGTATACCATGATTTTATATTCTACCCAGAAGTTTGGGAATGTTCTAGCTCCCACAATTCCCTGCTGACTTTTGTAATTGTCTTTTTGAATTTTAATCACCTCAGTGGATATTGTCTTGTAGCTTATTTGTACTTATTTATTTGGATTTTTTTTTTTTTTTGAGGTAAGCTCTAGTGTCATCTAGACTGACCTGAACTCACTAGGTGGACACGATTGGCCCTGAACATCTGATCTTACTTACTGCCTCTACTTCTCAAGTACTAGAATTAAAAGTATATGTCACTGTCTTAATGTCTTACCTGTTGCTTTAATGAAATATCCCAACCAAAAGCCACTTAGCGAATAAAGGGTTAATTTTTTTCCAAATTACAGAATGACATTTATTATAGCAATAAAGAATATGTGCTATACAACATAAAATATAATAAAGTAAAATAATATAAGGGAAAATAAAATATAATAAGTAAAAAATATTTGTAATTAATATAATATTGGAGCATTTGTGGTGTATGCCTTTAATCTCAGCACTCGGGAGGCAGAGGTAGGTGGATCTCTGTGAGTTCAAGGACAGCCTGGTCTACAGAGCTAATTCCAGGACAGGCTCCAAAGCAATACAGAGAAAACCTGTCTTGAAAAACCAGATATAAATATATATGTATGTATGTATGTATGTATGTATGTATGTATGTATGTATGAATGATATTGGAAAATAAAAGAACCAGAACATTTTGTAGTAAGTTTTTCTTAAATATGGATAAATGGAAGGAAGAAGGGACCTGTAAAGGGTTAATTGTGTCTTAAGATTCCAGGATACAGTCTATAGCAGAAATAGCCTTACTCCTCTGTTCAACCTGTAAGAAGAGTGCTGAGCTTCTGGGATGATGAGGTGCCTCCAGCAGAGAGCTTGGACCACCTGACCCCAGCTTTTCCTCCTGTCTGTCTGTCGGTCCTTCATTCCCCCGCTGCCCCTGTTGCGTCTGACCCAGCACTTGCTTTTACAAGGAGCTACAGTAGGATCTCACAGGCTCCCAGTGAAGACACCCCCCCCATCCCAGGAGCCCCTGTTAGGGCTTTAAGGCCCTAGGGTGAGTCTCAAGTTGGGGACCATCTCTGCCCTTTGTCTGCACAGGACTCGGTGACATCATTTGCCTCATGCTCACTAGTGCTTTCCACAGGTTTCCCTCACAGCGACGAGGGGACGTGGCATCATTGGGGGCACACTGCCACTGCTGTCACCCCTGGTCAGCATGGACAGTTGAACCTTCTCAAGGCTTTCTTGCAGCCACCTCACTCCAGAACCACGCTGTCTGCAATTTTATTAGATTAATTTCCCGAACAAGGGTACACTGTCATTTGTAAGTCACAGTGACTGGGGCCATGCCTGTGCAGCTTATGCTGTTCTGCAAGGTCTCTATAGCTGCTTGGGATGAAGTCTGTTCTCTAGTCCAGTGAGTTCCATTGACTTCTCAGTTGTCTTGGTATACAGGATCGTCTCAAGATGAACAAGGGTGAAATGATCCTCATTCTCTTGACTCCTTAGATTAAAACTTTGGAACAGACCAAAGCCATTGAAGACTTAAGTCAATCCCGAGACAAGTTGGAGAAACTGAAGGAGAAAGCGGAGAAAAAGCTCACATTGCTCAAGTCCGAACTGGAAAATGTAGAGGATGAGGCTAGAGCAGACAAGGGAAGGGCCATGGCCTTGACAGAGTTGTTCACTGGTGAACTGAAGACCCTGAAGAAGTCTCTGGAAGAATCGGAGAGGAGAGAACAGCAGGTAGATAAAAATATGCTGGTGGAATCCTCTTCAAGCCATGGCAGGATGGTTCCAAAGCTTCCATGAGAAGCCACACACTTAGTGACAGGGACACCTTTAAGAACAGGAATGCCGTCATGTGCAAGGCCACATTCAGCTCCCCTATACCATTCTATTTTTAGCATATTGCTGCAAAGGAGAGCATTATTCATACATTTCCCCCAACACAATTTGTAAAGGTTTCTATATTAACAGATCCGCCCACTTGCCAAGCATCTTTTTTGGCATGCCAATAAATCATTGAGTTTCTTGGCCAAGAAAAGCAATTCATGCTTGCATGACATAGACTGTAAGAAAGAAAAAGATATTAATGTGCTTCTCAAAGCCACAGAAAGCCAGTGTGAAGCTGGCTTCTGGTGGTGATGAGATGTTTTGCGTTTTATACTTGCCTCTGGAGCTGGCCTCATCTCACAGCATTTAATATTAAGCAGGGCTAGGAACTCACAGAGAAGCTTTATCTCCTGCAGAGATCAGTTGCAGGAAACAGCCTCCAATCTCAAACAGTGGCACCCAGACTTCATGGTTGACCAAGTGCAGATGTAGGCCATAAAAAAGGTACACACTGGCTGGCTGGCTGCAAGGAGGAGTATTTTATCTGCTGAGCACATCAGGTCAGACATAAAGAACTCCGTCCCGGGCAATGTGACCCCTAATGCCTTTGACTAGCATGTCACTTTCTGAAGCTGAAAAGGGCAGAGAATGGACTCTGCCCCTAGGATTTTTTTTTCCCCTTACTCTGCTTTGACTCATGTGTCAGGCAGAGCTGGGAGAGCCAAACTCTAAGGGCAAGTGTTCTCAGGGAGAAAACATCTCAGGGATTGTGAGTTTTGGCCACATTAAAAAGGGTGGGACAGCTTGAGAGGAACTCTTGCATTGGAGAGGCCAGGCTGGTGCCTTGTTCTATTTAGGTGATTTGACAAAACTTGGGAAGCAGAGTAGCTCCTACACAGGACAGTTATTTCTCTTAGGTCTAAGGTTGGAGAGTCAGGGTCAAGGTGTCAGTAGACTGGGTATCAGATTTGTAATGGCGTCTTCACGAACCCTCAGTGGTGAAAGTTCTCTGGGGCTTCATTGATAAGGATACCATTTCTATCCTGGGGACTCCACCATGGTGACCTTATACTAATGAACTCACAAGGCCCCTCCTTCCGGTATCATCCCACTATGTTTCAACATAGATTTAGGGGCTGGGATGTGCAAATAAGAGAAGCTTTTGTCTCCCATGCTGGACCATCCCTGGGAAGGAAGTTGGGGATAAATGTTAGGATGGTGTTCTGATGGTACCCCATCAGCAGATTGCATCCCATCCTTTCTGAAAAGGAAGGTATTTAGTGAGTTGTCTCCATGATTCCCCTGTTTTGCCTGTGTTAGCGTACGGCCACAGAATCCACCCTAGGAGACTATGATGAGAGTCAATGCCCATTCTGACCATTGCCTATGGCTTCTACTTTGCCCCTTCTCCATGGACACCTAGCAATCTCCGATGAGCCCAGTGTTAGAACCATACATCGAGGTAGTTTGTGAAGGACAGGGAAGCCCTCCTGTGTTCATCAGCTCATCCTTTCTCTTTGAGTGTCAGAAATGTACTGCTCAGTTATCACTTCAATGCAGCAATGTTTATCATTCACAGGCCAACATTGATATAGCACATTTGAGGCCCCAGAACATGTCCTCAGTTATCATTTCCCTTGTCTGGGATGTCAGAGCAGACTGAGGGAGGTCAGAGTCTTGGTGATGATTGTTTCCTGGAGTTCTTGACTCAGCAGCAAATACACACATGACCAACCACTTGACTCACAAGAGATTATGAGATTCCGGAAGCCTGGGGAACCTGCAGGGATTTTGGAAGTCATTTAGCAGTCAAGCCTACTTATTCGTAATTTAGACTAGAGTGGGTAATTTGCCTACCTCACACAAATCTTGGTTTCCCTCTTTTGCTATTGTTGTTACATTTGACCTGGCAATGGCTATATGTTCTTTCCCAGCTAATGTATCTCTGCTTAATATTTGCAGCTACTGGACTTCAGGGAGGTGGTTTCCCAGATTCTGGGCTTAAACTTAACCTCTCTCACACATCCTGACAATGAGATCATCAAATGCCTGGAAAGACTGGTCCATACACACCACCATCACTTTGTTACCTGTGCCTGCCTCAAAGACGCGACTACTGAGCACAACAGTTGCTCTCAGTGCCAATTAGAACTCCTGCATTGACCACCTGCCTCCTGGGCAGGGTACAAGTCTCAAGTTGCGCAGCTCAAAAATTCCCTGTAGTTTTGAAATTTGGCCAGCGTGTGACAATTATCTACTTTGATGACATAGTGAGAATGTATCGTGGGAAATAAGGTCTCCAAAAGTGCCATTGCTAGCACCAAAGAGATGGCTCAGCAGGTGAAGAAGGCTCTTGCTGCCAAGCTCGACAACCTGAGTTCAATCCCTGGGACCCACATGGGAGAAGGAGACAGTTGACTCCTGCAAGTTTTCCTCTGTCCCATACGCAATCTGTCATACAAGTTTACACACACACACCTTGTTAGCTAGTGCACTGGGACCCACAGGAGTACCAAGGTTCATATGAGCACAGAGTTTAGAATGGCAGACCTTCTGGAACATTACTGATGGCTTCACATCAGATGGCTTTGGAAGACCTGTGTGCAGGTCTTCCAAAAAAATATTCTTTAAAGTTATTTTATTTTTAGTTGTGTGCGTATGTGTGTGCATGCATGCGCAGTGTGCCCAGGTGCCAGCAGAGACCGTAAGAGGGAGTCAGCTCCCTTGGTACTGGATTACAGGCTGTTGTAAAGCACTTGATGTAGGTTCCGGGAACTGAACTCAGGTCCTCTGCAAGAGTAGCAAGTGCCGTTAACAACTGAGCCATCTCTCCAGCCCCATAAAAATTTATTCATCTGTCTGTCTGTCTGTCTATCTATCTATCTATCTTTCTATCTTTCTATCTATCTATCCATCTATCTATCTATCTATCTATCTAATCTGAATACATACAGTTTGACACGTAATAATTGTACCTGTTTATACATTTCTGGATGACACTCTAATCCATGCATACATGTGTGATCATGAGCTCAGGATAGCATGGTAGGGTCTTAATGTCTTACAGGCTTTCCAAGGCCCAGAGGCAATTGTACTAACTTAGGTTCTACATGGTTAGTGTGGGAGCCAGGATGTGCATGGCCTCGGCGGCACCTCTTATTTTCTCAGGTTCTCCTTGGTTTTGAGGCTGGAGGAATCCCTGGCATGCAAGAGGGAAGGCATCCCTCCATGTGAGTAGCGCTCACATAGGTCTGAGGGCTGGTAAGAAACATGGTTGCTTTTACTGATGCTCCCAGGTTATGAATGGTGGCTTTGAAAGTGTGAACGGGGCTGACCTCAGTTTTTACTTCCTTGTGGTAGAGACTTTCAGTGAACCTTGAGACAGACTGTCAGTTACCAAGCTCTGCCATCTGCCATCCTTCTGTCTCTCCCGGAAGAGTTATAACCACATGCCCAATTACACCCAGACTTTGACGGATCCAGCTGGGATTCGAACTCGGGTCATCATGCTTGCATGGCCCTCTTTCTTACCTGCAGAGCCTTCTCTCCAGCCTCATCTTGTATCTTTATATGTCTCATTAAAGTAAAGAAACAAAAACCCTGATGCCTCACAACACTAAGAGAAACTGAGCTAACCGTTAAGCTCGAGTCACAAACAAGACATACGTTGAGTCAAGACAACAAGGGATTATGGAAACCCATTGACCAGTTGCAGTGCTGGGAAGGAGACACAATATTGATTTGATCAAGGAAAAAAGCATAAAGATACTCTTGCAACAACAGTGAATGGCTCATCCCATGTGTTTTAAAAGTTACATGGCCTCCTTCATGCATGGTGGTGTACACTTGTGATCTCAGCCCCCCGAGAGGTTAAGCCAAGAAGATTGACATACATTTGAAGCTACTCTGGGCCACATGGTGAGTTCCAGGCCAGCCTGGACTACAGATTGAAACCCTTTCTCAAACCAAGCTAATAAGCAGCCACCTGGCTGACAATCCAATGAGGCACTCCTCCTGAAACCCCAAACAAAGCAAATGACCATATTAGGTTGGCTTTAGCCCCAGCTGTTACCTTCTCATGGTAGACTTAGTGATAAATGTGTTATGTTATTTCCCCTCTGATTGCCCATTAGTTACATGTCAGGGGTCATATATACGAGACGAAAAATAGCCATATATTACTATGTGAAATAACATTTTGTTTATCCAAATGTATGGCACAAGTGTATAAATACAGTTCTTGAAACATATATTAATAATCCAGTGTCTTTGAATATCTACCCTAGAGACATTCAGTGGTAAGGATACGTGGGATAAGCATAAATAAATTCTGTGCCTGAAGATAGTTCATATTCACAGTAACTGTTTGTCATTTGGACAAACTGAATACCTGTTAGTAAGGTCATTTCCTTCATGTTAAAATGCCAAGTGTTTGCTTGCCTTCCCTTTGTGCGTGCATTCCAGAGTTGGCAGGCTCGCTTCATATTTCTGTGATGTTTCGTTTTCCGGTAATATCCATGTATATTTTATATTGTCCAATAAAATGCATTAGATTAATGTGAATTTTAGATAAGGTCTTCAAATATTTAACACTAACTCGTCTGACAGATACACTCACGGGGAAATTGCTATTGAGGTTATTGTTCTGGTCACGGAGATATCGAAATACTTTCAGAAAATATCTCACAGAAAACAAAACAAGACAAAAACCTGTTAGCTTGGATCCATCTACATTTCCAACCCATTCTTCTCGTCATCTGCAGAAGAGTGGCTAGTGGTCCAGACCAGGTGGTGATGGGCTGAAGGGCTGTCGAGGACATTTGTGATGCTGATGCTATGACAGCAGTACGCAGAAGAAACATCTAAATTTTATTGGGGTAACGTTTTATGGTGACTAACCTTTAACCTGGAAGGCTCCTTCCAGTTTGTATAGTAGTATTTAAGTGGAGTTACCTTATAACGGGGCAACAATGTTCCTACTAGATACCAGAGACTAGCAAATAAAAAGCCTAGTGTTAGGAATGGTTTACCTCTTAAGGAGTTTCTGGCCAGGGAGGTCTGATGGATCCCCCAAATATTACAGGCTACTGCCAATGATCTTGGTTACTCCCCAGAACTTGATGGTAAGACTCTATTGATTCATAGGGCATGGAGAAATCAAGGTGGTATTCAACTTGACCCTTCATCCCCACTGGCTAACTTTGATCGTGCTGGAAGATGCTATGCATGCTCCCAGGGGAGAAAAGTAATCTTGTTCAACTGTGAACCCTGGGTGCTACAGTCTGCCAAGACATGCCTGTTGGTACAATAGTGACATGAATGCCCCGGGAGTAACCAAGCAGTTCCTGATCGGATTTAAGGGCCGCTGTGCAAGATGACAACTATACGGCACTGATATCAGGGAGTATGGCCTAAGCCCTCGGGGAGAGGCCGCCACGATCGGTCTGATAGATGAACATGACCTACCATAGATTAGTGCGTTTCTCAACCCTTATTAGGATCAGGGAAGCTTACTTTTGCAGTGGGTGGAGATTAAGAAGGAGAACCCCAAGCTGGTTCAAGTGCAGAGAATGAGAGACCGCAGGGCGCTCAGGCCGTAATGGCACACCAGCTTCACACCCCTTTCTCCCAAGGCTCAGGAATCTTTGTGGGAGAGAGTGTGGATAGATCCTCAGAGCAGTGGATGGCTACAAGGAAAGAAGTGTTTTCCAGATATAACAGGGCAGTTATTGCATTTGCCAATTCCCAGAAGATAAGACAACATGCACAAAAACCTGCGCAAGCCCAAGCCCAAGTCCCCGCATGGAAAGGGAAGCAGGACATGCATGTTGTCTCACCCTGCACTAAGGGGCCACTGCAAGCTGCTAACTGCTGAGGGAGACTCAGTTTTCTTGGTGTGTGGTCCCCGCTAGGTTGACCATGCTGCAGTGGAAGGCCAGATATTCAAGAATACATATCCACACAGCCTGCACGGCTGGGAGTATTAAAGTCTGTAGCACCATCCCTTACCTCGCCCGCTCACCCCGAACACTCACGTAGCTGTTCTTTACATCTGACTCGCCCTGACTCCATTTCTTCTTCCTTGCCAATCTTCACTCCATCTGGAGCCAGCCTAGACCTCCTGGTTCATTTCCTCCTTCTAACGCCCTTGACTTTCCCCCTTACACTTCTGTCCTCAACTCTGAGTTAGTTCCAGACACCAGTGTTTCTGCTGATTTATCTGCCTCCACTGAATGAGGCTGGAGAAAATCACATAAAATCACGGGTAAGTGGCATCCCAAATCCCTAGCCCTTGATCTCTGCAGACCCCTCTATGCCAACTGGTCATCCGACTCTGTTTTCCTGGTTGGATCTCACTGCCATTTTCTGAAACAACTATTGAAAATATTCATTTCCTCACCACCTTTATCCCTCTCCCTTCCTTCTTCATTCTCCCGGGATAATACCCTCTGATTTCACTCAGAAAATAGAAGCGATTACCCGAAACACCCTGGATACCACATCCTAGTAACACTTTGTGTATACGCACTTCCTTCTTGCTGGTTTAGCTTAGTTCCCCTGCATGCCAGGGCACTCACATCCTTTGCAAGCCATTCCCACCAGCTGACTGATTCTCCTCCATTCATGGCCTATTCCCATTATACTCATTTCTCTCCCTTCTTAAAACACATGGTCCTTTCCCCTCAGAGACCCTGCTTCCCTTCCTTCTGTATATTTGAGCCCCTTGAAGGCACCATTTATACTTTGCTTCAACTTATATATATCGTATAAGCATGACCCTGCCACCTAGCTCTGGCTCCACCCACCCAGCACCCACATCCAGGCTGGCAAATCTTTGTTACTTCTGAAATACTTATCCCTCTTGGACTCTCTGAAGCGTTTATCACCTTTGCCCCTTCCCACTTTCTTCAGCTTCCATGCTGTGGCAGTCATACCATTTTCGCCACAGAAGTGGGTACCTCTGTGGGCCTGAGCCAGGACCCTTGATGGTTATAAGAGCCAAAACTGAGATGAGAGATTCATGGATATGAGTGCCGGTGGGAAGCTTGACCTCGTAGTCAGAGCTTTGTGGAGAACATCCAGATACTTTGAAAACTTGACAGCAGTAGACTGCCCTAGGATTAGAGGCCTCCACGAAGGGCCCTGGTACTTTTCTTTGTCGCAAATTGGCCCCAAAG